GTCTAAGCAAAAGCTTGTCGAGGAGCGAGGGGAAGAAGGGAGAAGTGCAGATGACATTTTTGCTGTGGGAGAGAGGGAGAGATGTGACAAGTTTGGTGCCGACCTTAACAAGTCCGTGCCAGTGAAGAACCTGGGAGAGATGAGATGGAATTCTGGGTGCTTTTACGAGAGCAACAAGGAGACCGGTAGGTTGAAGATTTCTCAACAGACTTTCACGGATGAGCTAGCAGCAGAATATGGAGTAGTGAGTGGGAGGTAAGAGCGTTCCGATGTCTTCGGGGGTGAGAAGCTTTCTGATTTTTTTTATACGGATGAGGTGGCGACAGACTTTGCGTCTCGTGAGCTGGTAGGATCGTTGATGTGGCTGGCGACTCAGACTAGGCCAGACATTTTGCGAATACAATTAAGGGCAGTAGCTAGGTATTGCGCATCTCCGAAGCTGGTACACTGGAATGCAGCGATGGAGATTTTAGGCTATGCGAGGAGGACGAGTCACTTTGGTATTTCGTTTCAGAGAGGTACGTACGGTGGAGGCATTAACCTTGCAGGGGTACGCTGATGCGGACTTTGCAAGCAAGGCAGCAGACCGTAGGTCGGTATCAGGGGGGGTCGTGACGTGTGGAGGAGGCGCTGTTTCTTGGTTTTCCAGAACGCAGAAGTGTGTCACGCTTTCGACCACCGAAGCAGAGTACGTCGCGCTAGGTGACGTAGTGAAGAAGGAGATTTTGTTTTTGAGGCAGATTTGGCGTTTCATGTTGCCGCAGGTCGGCATGCCGTGCATCCCCGTCTTCGAGGACAACCCGGGGGCGATTCAACTTGCGCAGAACCCCATCTCAAACTCGAACTCGAAGCACATAGATGTAAGGCACCATTTTCTCAGGGAACTGGTAGAGAGGAAGGAAATTTCGGTCATCCACGTGCCGTCGCCGTACCAGCGTGCAGACATTCTTACGAAGAGTTTGTCGAGGGATGCTTTCGAGTCTCACCGTGATTTTGTGATGAATTTGGCATGAACATTTTATTGCTTTTCTGATGGGTTGTGTTTTGGTCTTGTTCTGTTTCCCGTTTTGTTTCATTTCCCGCGCCAAGCATATTAGTTTGTGTCGATTCTTGAGCACACTGGCTGCTACGAGACCAAAGTCAACACTGTTTGCTGTCGGATTCCTCCTGTGTCAGTGCTTCGCTGGCTTTCATTCTCTATACCTTGCTTGTGCCAGGAACACTTACATACATGCTGTTTCGTGTGTCCTTCAATTCCTTGCTCACGGCTCTCTTCCTCTTGGTGCCCTTTTCGTGCGGTGTGCAAGTCGGAACGACACCCACCCCACCCTGTTCGCGTATCACGTTTTGTGGGAGAAACCCCGCTATTCCGACCTGCTGCCACCCCCTGGGACGAAGAGTGACTGTGTTTTCGGGGTAACGTTGTTTGGACACGGGGGAATAGGTAGGTCATGGCGTTGTCCCAGGGTAGTGGAGCGGCTTGTTGAGCGATGCAGTCGTCCTCGGTGTTGGAATTGCTTCTAGGGGGTGAGGGTTTTAGCCCCCGTCCGAGCGGGCGTGTTTTGGAAGGAAGGGTAAGCAAGAGACGAAACATGGTGAGAGTGTCTCGAGGGAAATAGCAGCTGCTCCCACCCCATTCTGAACGTCCATCCTCCGCGAGAAGAGCCTGCGTGTGCTTGAACAACAACCACGTGGAGGTTCTAGAACAATAGTGTGTTCTTTCGCGATCGATGGTTTGGCAACAATCATATATAATATGTTGCTTGTGGATGAATTACGGTCGCGACAGCTGTTAGATGTGATATAGCTTGATGCCGTCGCGGAATGACGGGAGGCACACAAGCCGCCGCCGACGACGAACATCTATGAATAGACGAGAGATAATGATGGAAACGGCAATTACTGGTGGAGATGCCCTTATTCAATTGAATGAACAAGCGTCAGGTCTCCCCAAAGTTTGTGAGGGACGATCCTCTTCTAACAATGTATTATTATTGCCGTGTCGACGAAAAGATGTGCCGTGTCTAACTTTGATGGCAAAGACCCGCGGATTCGGTTCGATCCCGCCTCCTACTTACCAATGGCATAGAGACGATAGAAGAGTTGTTCAGACATGAAGAGTAGTGGGTGAGACGTGGAGGACGGGGTGCACCCGTTAACTAAAAGAAGTGAATCGAAGAAGGCCATCTTGTCGGTTCTTTCGTTATCTCTGATATATTTTGTTCAAATATTTTTCTTCCGAAACACACAATTCTTGCTATATACAGGCAGAGTCCAGGATAAAGTAGCTACGATTTCACAGTGTTTTATTTTGGTTGAATGCCGACACGGGGCCAGCGAAACAAACCTTGGCCTCTAAACACCCACAATAGTCCAGATGTACACTGATATCTTTGGACAGTCATAGTTTACTACAAGATCGCCGTGCGACCTTGCTTTGGTCAAAGACGATGACAGCAAAAAACCGACACGAGAAACAGACACATTAAACGCTTTGGCAAAAAGACGAAAAAACCGAAGGAAAGAACAACAAGGCTGGCTTCGGAACGCAGCGGAAAAAAACCAAACACGACAGGACATAAATTGTACGGAGCTACAACAAATGTCTGTCAAGGTTTTAGGGCGAACAGCCGCAGCATGCATGCAGATGCATATTCTCTCTCTCTCTCCCGACTAGTAATTAGGACCAGTCTCTAGCAGCAAAATGTTCTCGCTCGGCGACGGCCTCCACGAGGAGCTCGACGATCGCAGAGACGACGAAACCCTCCTTGATGCCCTACCGCCACCGGAAAACGACATACGTATGTACCACACAAAATAATCTTTCACCCATCTATACACGAACGGCTGATCGTCGTGTGGCTTTTGCCTCACCCACGTCGCGCACACAACTCTCCGTCGCGGGAAGAGATATGCCTCCCTTTCCAGGCTTGCGTTCTGTACATCCCCTCTCTATCCTCCTTCTTGCCGAGAGAGAGGGAGGGAGAAGGAGCGAAACAATCCGAGCGCGTGCAGGGAGGCCCGCGAAGCTCGTCACCAGAGGATCCTACCCCCCTGCCCCCCCCCCCCTCCCCGACACACGTGGCAAGAGGGCGCCTACATATCACAACACTCCAATACTAGCCCCAGATCATCACACGAGGCTCGCAAGAACAGCCTACTATGTATCTAGCTGCCTCATAACTCTAGGTCACCGCTGTTCGCCCCGAACCGGTTGGGTCTGTCCAGCCCTGGTAAGCAAACGCAGGCTTCTGAGACTTGACCCAACCCTCCTACGACGCAGCAACTGCACCCACCGGCAGCACGGCAACAGTCCAAACCTTTGCACACGGAATGTCCACAAAACGAAAAACGCCGGCAAAAAGAAGACGCCTCTCTTCAGGTTGGGAAACCCCGCATCATCTCCATCCGCACGCCGATACAAGAAAAGAAAACACGGGTCGTCTTGCGCACCACAACATCGTCGGTGGTCGACAGCCACCGCAACGGCCTCGGAAGAAAGACAACGCCGAAAACAATTTTCCCTCCTCCCGTCTTTCAATGGTGGTCGAGTAGATCATGTTGTGCGGGGTCGAGAACCCTCACTCCGCGCAAGGGGGATGATCGCACCACGTTGTGTTAAAATGGTCACGCACCCTCGAGGCAGTTACACAGCGCTTGCAACTGTCTCTGGAAGTGAAGCACCAGAAAATAAATTAAGTCATACGCAGCTGTCATCCGTATGCAAGGAAGTAAGCACAAGATGCCGAACACCCTTAGCAGGATGCAGCGNCCCCCCCCCCCCCCCCATCTACAACGGGGAAAATCTGCCTCTCATCTAAAACGGGAAAATCTGTGGCACGAGCAAGGACCCAAGTACAAGGTAGATCAAGGATAGAGGGGTGCCTATCTTTATGAAGTCCGTGAACTTGTAACCGCCGGGTCCCCAAACAAGGGTGTTCGTCTGGTACCCGATGGGCGTGATGAAGCTGCTGCTTGCCGCCAACATCACCGTCAGGATGAACGGCTTGTAGCTCACCTGTGATTGTTTTTTTCAGCCGTCGCACAGGCATCGATCACATGTGACGATGGTACGTGGTTAGCGACAAAGCCGCAGCATAAAAACTCGGGGTGCGGGGATGGGAATCAGTGATCCGAGAATAGCGATACTTCTTGCCCTCCCCACTCTCTCTGGACTAGCGAAAACGAATCCAACACGGAAGAGACTATGCTCACAGCACAGATGCCGCTCAAGCCTTTAGTTGGCTAGGCGCGAACAGTGCAAACGATAACTCCCCATCAAGAACCAATCGCAGCAATGGCACAAAAGAGGATAGCTAACCCTTGGAGCCATTTCCGGTTGATTTTGGAGGAGAACCACTAGGAAATAACACAGAATACAGTCTACGTAACAAAAAGCCCTTCGCCATTCCGCACTTGGGAACTGCTTGAAACAAGAATTTGCAAGAAAACAGGGCGGGTCCCTTCACTGCTGGTTACCTCTAGCTCTCGAGAGATGCTGAACGCGATCGGAGTTGCCAAAGCAGCAGCAGCATTGTTGGTGATGAGCTCCGTGAAACACTGGAACAGTTTCGCGTTCGTCGGAAACGACATGGAAACAGAAAAAGAGGCGAGGGGAGGGTAGGTTGATTTCGACTCTTGTACACACGATGCCTTCAACTGCGACGTCGGTTCAGGTTACAGGCGTTTCTCCGACGGGTTGAATAAACCAAACAGCAAACGAGAGCCAGTGACGCACCCAGTACGATACCTGAACGGCTGTTGACGGTGTGATTCTCCACTACGTCACCCGCTCTAGATCCTAGATCCTGCCCTGCCCCCCCGTTTCCCACACCCTATCCGTGAAGGGAGAGGGGGGGAATCCACTCCATCACCGAGTCTGGTCTGCCTTGCCTAGATTGATACTACATCACTCGCCGGCGACAGCTCTTCGGAAGACAAACAACCCAAACGCTAGGCGCCTTTGCAGTCGGCTCTCCGCCAGTAAAAGAAAACAACTCGACCAAACCCCCCAATGTGTCTAGAATGAAAAATGAAGCAGCACGTTGCAGTGAACTCCACGGGCTTACGCCCCGTGACAATGCAAATAGGCGTTAGGATCAGGGTTTGGCCTTCTCACCATCGTGAAGCCGTAGAGCACGAACAGGCTCGCGTCCGCGCTGATGCCAGAGCTGCGGATGGCTCCCCCCACGTAGTCCGCGAGGCCGGAGTTGACGATCCCCTTGCTGAGCCCCAGCGCGCTCCCGATCAACAGGAGGAGCGACCAGTCCACAAAGCCTACCGACTTCTTCGCGTCCACCCATCCCCCGAAGATCAGGATGGCGCCGGCGGTGAACGCCGCTTGCACCTGCGGACACGAGGGCGGGTTTAAGCGACACCGTAAATTCGACGACACGACGACTAACCCGGGCGTGTATGTGTGCCTTCTGCATGTCCGAGCCAGACCGCCCTCCTGCGACGGGCCCCGCCAGTGTCTTCTGCGAACCGTTCCTCGAGGTAGCTATATCGGATCTTCTCGAAGGCGCGCCATAAAAAGGAGCCGCTAGGACCCCCGCATACGCCCAAGGCGGGATCGAGGCAACAATCAAAAATAATACTCGATCACCCCCAACTTGTTTCAAAGTCCACCTGCGACGAAAGGGGGCGCTATCCGACGTCTGGGAGAGACAACGACTGTAGACAACAAAAGAGCATGACGATCGAACGCCAAGAGCACCCGTAGCTCTAAAACCCACCATTTCCGCGTCGAGCAGCACCCAGACCAGCATGCCCACGAACGCCAGCAGAGGCAGGTAGTCGTAGTACCGTACGGGCTTCGGCACCGACCCGACCTTGGTCAGCAGGAAGAAGTCTCTGGAAGCCCCGTACTTCTCCATGAACTCCTCCTTCGCGAGCACGAGGACCACGTCCCCGGCCTTGAAGGACGTCTCCGTCACGTCCTTCTCGTCCTCGTGGATCAACGTGTTCTTCCTCGACCTGCGCATCATCGGCGACCGTGGCGTGCCCCGCGAGGCGGCAGCGGCGGCGCGGCCGCTCATCGCGGAGACCAGCGAGCGCGTCTTTGGCCCGGCGGACGTCGAGATGGAGCCCGTCGGGGACACCTCTCTGCTGCCCGGATCAAGCGCGGGCTCGACGCCTTCCTCGAGGAAAACCTCGGGGGCGTCCATCGCCGCCGCTGACGCCCGCGTCGACTTGAAAGACGAACCGGTCGGCCGCGTGGAGGCGGACGGGGGAGCGGCGGCGACCGAGGAGCCCGGATTCGTGGCCTCCGCTTGCCCCCTGCGGCGCACGGCGACGACGCTCACGTTGTAGTAGGCGGCGAACTCCGCGTTGTCGCGGCTGGCGGAGCGGCCCACGAAGTGGTTGTGTCCAGAGAGGACGATCTCGAAGAACTCCGTTCCGTGTCCGGGGAGGTCGAGCGCGCTCACGTCCAGGAACTTGAGGCCCTTGAGGCCCTGGCTGACCGTCACCGCCTGGAAGTCGATCATGGTCGCCTGCGAAGGGAAACCGGGGCAGCGGTAACGACACAGCAGAAAGGATTAGCGGGGCCTACTTAGCAATGCCGGGGGATGTTTCTGCAACGAATGCGGCGCAAAAAAAAAACAGGAGGCTACTACTGCCGTGATGATCCTACACGCGTCACACAACTCCTCTCTCGCCTGTGCGCAACTCAGGAACAGCACGTCGCCGGCTTGAACGGGCTCCGCGGCAGACACCGGGAAAATGTCGGTGTAGGTCTCTCCCTCGGCGTTGAGTGACCCACCGTTTGGGTGCCCTTGGCCGGCCGCGCCGTTACCAGCAGCGGTCGCCGATGCGTTACCGTTCGGCGTGGCGTTGTTGCCGTTCACCGAGGCGATGGCGTTCGATGAGCGCTGTGCGTCCGCGTCGCTGACCCACCGCTTCCGCGAGAACCTCCCGGGCTTGCGGGCTTCGGAGCCGCTGGCGTCGGCCGCAGCAGAGCCGGCGAGGGGCGAGATGCACTTCTCTTCCTGGGCAAGGTCGTCCTTGGTGCCCCACAAGCACTCCGCGCGCATGCGGTAGCTGTACATGCACTCGGCCCTGAAGGTCTTCTGGTTGACCTCCATGATGGCGTTCGCGTCCTGTTCGTCGTGGGTGGCGCCCTCTTTGACACTACTGGAGTGGAGCGCCGACGTGGGGAAACCCAGGCTGGCGTTTTCCTCCAGGCTCTGGCTCATCTGGCGCAGGATTCCGGAAGATATCTTCCGCCGGATCTTGATGAGGGTGTCCTGAGGGAGACCAAGCCTCGCGAGGACGAGCCCCGCAGGCTCTCCCTTGTACGGGAAGTCGTCCATCACTTGGACCTTGATGGGCGACCAGCGAGGAGTCACGTGGGAGGGCGGGGCGGGGGGGGGGGGGGCGGGATCAAGACCCGGCGTCACGAAGCGATTTGCATGGACCCATGAGCGACACAACAATTCATGAAGTTGAACCAACTTGTGCCGGCTGTATCCACTAGAGAACGGCAGGAGAGCAAACAGAGAGGCGATGCACACGCTCGCAGAGGCAAGAGGCTCGCAGCCGCCCGCCGCAAGAGCCAAAAGGCCAGCAAGCACATGTAGATGACTCTGCGTGTGATTTAAGTGCCGTAGAACAATCGGTTGTGTGGCCGGATTCAAGCGTGCAGAGCAATAAGTAGCAGCGCTGCTTCTCTCAAGGCCAAAATGAGCTTGAACGACAGGGGTCAGGGGAAGACCACCGAACTTGTTTTCTGTCCGTAATTTTTCTAGCGGGACCTTGCAGTTTCACCCCTTTTTCTTGTTGCGGACCAGCAAACTGCACACCATCCGTGCAGCAGAATACAACGAAGAAGATCACCAACATTGTTTTGTTCGTCCGTCGTTCGTGTGTCGTTGACGTCTTGTTCTTCGACTGCTGGTCAACGTGACTGCCGCGCGGATGCGGCAGCACACACCTCGGTAAGCAGCTCCTTGGCGCGGTCCCGGACGTATCGGAAAAGCCCGCCCCGCGAAGGTAACACGCGAGGAGCGAAGAGCACCAGGTACAGCATCCCGACGACCCCCAGAGGGACCCCGATGTACCCGGGCTCGAAGAAACCGATGGCCTCGATGCTGGGGTCGCTTAGCTTCTCGTCGAGGACGAGGCCCTGCACGACCAGGTTGGTCGACGTCCCGATGACGGTCAGCAGTCCGCCCATGATACCTGCAACGACCCCCATATAGAATTGGCCATCAACCGCACATTTGGGCGAATTTAAGGACAGGGCAAACATCACTCTAGCATGATGGCCACTGGCGTCAGCCTGCATCTCGCATAACTATCAGAGTAGCACACCACAGACAAAGCCCGCCGTGGTGTCCACGATTCGTGTTGGCGTGTTAAGCATATGCATAAACTTTGAAGTACATGAAGAAGTAGTACTTTACTGTGACTCACACGAGTAGGACAGCGGGATTAGGAAAATAGAAGGGGAGAACCCGCGAGCCCGGGCCCAGTCGCGAGTAATAGGGATAAGGAGCGCGACCACCGGCGTGTTGTTGAGGAAGGCCGACAGGACGAAGCAGAGAGACATCATCCTGCCTAGCCCCGCCTCCAGGGAAGTCCTAAGGCCGAACACTCGACGGGCGGCTTTGTCGGCGAGCTGGGACTTCTCCACACCCTTGATCACGACAAAGAGGGCGCCGACCGCAAGCATCCCCGCGTTACTGAACCCCGACAGCGCTTCTGTTGTGTTCACCAGCCCGACGTTCCAAACCAGCACCAGGCAGAAGAAAACCTTTTGTCGGCGAAGGCGACAAACGACCACAAGGGCATGGAGGGCCTCCATTAGGTAGCTATCTCTTGGCCGTGTATGCGGGGAATGGAGGACCCGAACCAAAGCGCCCAAATGCCAAATGTGCGGAGGGCATGCACTTCGGCCAGGAAGAAAGTGGAAAGCAGATACGCTTCGGGGTTGGAAAAGGGAGCATGACGTCTACATTGCAGCTGCGATTTCAAGCGATGCATTAAGGCATGGTACAGGATAAAGAGGGGCGGTAGAAGGGACGTTGCACGGAAGAGCTTTTCTTGCCTCCCGAGGGACCACGGATAACAGGAGGTACAGGAGTAGATAAGAGAAGAACCCAACATGCGTTTAGGTAGCGAGCTCTTACAACCACATTCTACGCACCACGGTCTCCGGCGTCTTCAATCCCACGAACAAGGAGATGAACATGGCGGTGAGCACCACCCCCATGAAAGCAGCCTCGGCCGGGCTTCCGGAGCTGTCGCTGCTGTCAGCCATAGTTAGTGTTCTATCGGCAGCTGCCCAGGACTCCACGGTATGTACTGCAGTAGTTGAACACGGTCACCAGTCAGGTTGTTCGGCGACGTCGTTGAGTGGGTGGATAAATTGTTGCGTGTGTCGGATAGAGATGGCTCTCTTCGCTCCCAGATTGAGAACAAAGGGATAGGCGTCACCGAGCCGGCCGGACGCGTTTGTGCGCCCGACAGCAGTAATCGTGCTCTCCACACGGGTTGCGGGCTGAATGCGGGGAGATACACTGATCTACGGAGAACCCTGCACGCGGAATCATGATGGGTAGGTGTAAAGAATAATTTCGATATCGCGTTCCCCCCACGCGTGCGCCTGCCACCGCACTGCCACACCTAACCTCTCTTTTTCTAAAAGCTGGAAGAATGAAGATTGTGTGCGCAGCATTGTGTGTCCAGGCGGTCGGCGCCTTCGTCGCGCCGTCCGTGGTGAAGTCCGGTGAGTTGTTGGTCTAGCTCGTGAGTGCTAAGTGGATCGGAATCGCGCGCATCTTGTGTCATGTTGACGACAGCACATACGTGTGTGAGTGTGTTCGCACCAAAAACGGGCATGCGCTTCGCTTGTTGTTGGCTTAGAACATGAGCGCTACGGTGCGCGCTCGTGAGGCACCAATGTGCACAAGGCTCGAGATCACACTCGCCTGTATCGCTCGAGCGAGTACCGTTGCCTAACCCCTGGCTGTGTCTCTGAACATGAAGGAGCGCGAAAAATAACACACCCTACCGCCGCTCGACCGCACGTGGGTGCGTATGTAAGAATAGGGTAGCATTTTTTTTTGTCAGGACGGGGAGTCTCTCATCTCGCCACACGGCGGTACTGCTGCTCGCTCTCTCTCTCTCTGTCCCTTTGTGCTCTGCTCCGCAGGCCTGGCCAGGTCGTCCTCCAGGGCGGCCGCCCCCATGCAAATGATGGCGGACGCGGTGGTGAAGAAGCTCTCCGTGGGCGACTTGAAGGATGAGGACCTCAAGGGAAAGAAAGTGCTGGTGCGATGCGACCTCAACGTCCCCCTGAGCGACAAGGTGATCGGCGACGACACCCGCATCCGCGCGTCCATCCCCACCATCGAGTACCTCCTCGGCAAGGGTAAGCTCGCCGGCCGGCCATCTGTCCGGTATTAAGAAAAGAGAGCGTGGCCTGACTGGTGGTTGAAACCAGTCCCCAGCAGTGATGTCGTCGCAATCTGGGCGTCTCAGAATCTTGCCGAAATCTGGCTGTGACGTCCCTCTTGTCTCCCTCTCTTTGCTCTCTCTGGGCACGCACCTTCGATCGTTTTCTGTCGTGTTACACGGACACACCGACCCGTCGCGCACTAATCACAATTTGATGCTGCCGTTGCCGTCGTGACGACACAAACATGACTCCTCAACAGGCGCACGAGTCGCGTTGTCGTCGCACCTCGGGCGACCGAAGGACGGCCCGGAGGACAAGTTCTCCCTTGGGCCCGTCGCCGAGCGGTTGACAGAGCTCTTGGGTAAGGACTGCAAGATGGCACCGGACTGCGTGGGCGACGAGGTGGCCAAGATCGCCGACGCCCTCGGCGACGGGGAGGTGATGCTCCTCGAGAACGTGCGCTTCTACCCGGCGGAGACTAAGAACGACAAGGGTGAGAGGAAAGAACAGCAGCAGCGGTCGTTCACCCTCGCATGTACGCACGTGAGATATCCATCGTGCGCTTCTTGTACACTCGCGTTATCATGTGTACACACAGCCGCAAAGCCCACTCGCGTAGTGGTTGATGGGGCTTGACGCGCCGCAGGACGTGGACACTCGGCGTTTCAGCCGCGAGATAACCCGAAGACGATCGACCAATCCTACATGCGTATCTGCAACTTCGTACTTCCATGATCCCTTTTTTTTTTTGCTCCTGCGACACACGTCATCCCCTTGGTTCGTGTTTCGCGCGAAAGGTTTTTCTCTCCACGTCACCCAATTGATAGAACATTGAACATGAACATGAGCGTCTAGGCTGTGTCTGGTTGTCGCGCTGGTGTACTGTTTGGCACGGTGATCCTTAACGAGAGTGCCGGTCAGCAACACAACAGCAGTAGCATACGACCGTATCCGCTGTATTTTTGTATGTACCGTATCGTATGAAGGAATTTCAAGAACGCGCATGTAGACATGCCCACTGGCGATGAGGTGGCGGCTCATGTTTCAATGTTTTGCTCCTGAGCTGACAGAAGCAAGAACGTCACACAAGAGGAGATAGATAACATCGCAGGCCAGACTGCCGTTGACCACTACTGCTGCTTGATAAACTATAAATATCTGTGGGTGAACCCCGTGTTCTCGGCGCTTTCCTGGTGCTGGTACACGCACTGCTGTTGCTGTAGTGTGGCAGCATGCGAGAGAGTGGTCCCTGCTGTTGCGAACATTAGACTGCGCTCATACCCGAGTTGGTGCGGTTGCAACATACACGGGAGATAGTGTTTCCAACACTCATACATAGACGATACCAGGTCTTTAGACGCGCAGCCTCGGCTTGAAGATACAGCGGCTGATGTACATGTAGATTGGTCGTTACGCCAAACCCCTCGCCCACCCCTTTCCAGCTGCCCAATGCTGCTGCTGGTTCCCTCTACTTGATTCTCAACGTCGCGTGCACATGCATCCATCCAGGAACAACCGTGTACACAAGTCACTCTTCGCAAGCCTCGCCCACCGCTTGCACAGCTGCCCAATACTGCTGCTGATCATTTTATCCAGCCATGAAGATGTCGCAAGTGTGCGACCAACATCAGTAGTCACTCCAAAACCCTCGCCTACCCCTTTCACAGCAGCAGAGTAACCCAATACTCTGTTGCTCCTTTCATGCCCCACAAAATTACTTCACCTCGCACGTGCGCGACATACACACAGACTTCGCGGAGAAGCTTGCCGCGCCGTTCGACCTGTTCGTCAACGACGCCTTCGGTACCGCGCACCGCGCCCACTGCTCCACCGAGGGCGTGACGAAGTTCCTCTCGCCTTCCGTGGCCGGGTTCCTCCTGCAGAAAGAGCTCGACTACCTCGCGGGCGCCGTGCAGGAGCCTAAGAGGCCCTTCGCTGCTATCGTCGGTGGCTCCAAGGTGTCCTCCAAGATCGGTGAGATTTTTGTTTGTCGAGAATGGTTAACCGTATGTACGTGCAATCACTCTGAAAATGACAGCCCGTTCGAGATAATACCACAACAGTAGTCGAACGGGATGTGCTCGAGTCTTGAGTAGCAGGTTTTTGTTGTGGCATGCACATATGCAACGTTTTGCCGCGAAGTGGCGAGATGCTTTTTTTGGTGTTTTTTTTTATCCCCTCGAAAGAACCTACATTCTCGACATCGGAAACAGACGAATTACCCGTTGGAGATAAACTTGGTTCGTGTTGGTCTGGGCTGTTGAGGTTTGTAACAAAAATGCGGGCCCTCCTTGCGAAATTGTTCACTTGGGGACACGTTGCCGGGCGCGTCCGAGGTCCAGCGTCGGTGCCGTCTTGATGTATATGTTTTCCGGCCTGAATCTAAACTCTAGTCTGCAAAAGGATGCTTGAAACACGAGTGCTTACGAGGGAGACATGCTGACGACGGGACGGCCTACTGCTGTGATCATGACGGTATATTTTTTTTTGTTTTTTTTTTCGTCGTTGCACAGGTGTGATCGAGTCTCTCCTCGCTAAGTGCGACAAGCTCATCATCGGCGGTGAGTCAGCTGCACCCTCTCGAAAACTGAAAATGTGCTGTTTATAGCCTTTGGGAATGTGTGCCTTGAGCCCTGGTCATGGCCGCACTTTCGAGAGGCCATTCCGCACGTTCATAGACAGTGCTCGAGAGTTCATTAAAGGACAGGTTTTTTAAAGCCAAAATGGCTCTCTCGCATTAATCGACCTTGTTGGCGGCCATGCTTGTCCCGCACCCGTCGAAGCGAAACAGCAAGTTGAAACAGAGGGCCCCTCGCCCCCCCCTGCTCCAGGCGGCATGGTGTTCACCTTCCTCAAGGCCCGCGGCCTCGGCGTTGGTTCCTCGCTCGTCGAGGAGGACAAGCTCGAGCTCGCCAAGGAGCTGGAGGAGAAGGCCAAGACCGCCGGCGTGGAGATCATCCTCCCCTCCGACGTGGTCGTCGCTGACGCCTTCGCCGCTGACGCTAAGACCCAGGTGGTGAAGGCCGACGCAATCCCCGACGGCTGGATGGGGCTGGACAACGGACCCGAGGCGACCAAGGAGATCCAGGCCGCCCTCAAGGAGGTAAGGAGATCGTGTTTAGATGTGTTGCTGTAAGTAGGTCCACACGCTCTCAGGGAGATAGGGAGAGGGATGTTTTTCTTGCAAAGTTTTGTTAATGTAGACGTTACTTACTCCGGTCAAAGAGGGTGGGGACCGATCTAGGCGTCTTTCTGTTTTGTGTTGAGGTGTCTTCGCGTGTCCAGACTCTGCCGTTACCCCGTACGCGCCCTCGCAAATGCATGCAATTCGTTTCAACTCCCTCCCGCTGAGTCCCTGTGCAAGAATTTAACTGTTGCGAAGCATAAAACCAACGATGCCAAGAGACCGACGCCCCTTATTCTAAACCTTTTTCCCGTCTCGCCGAATCCGTGTGCCAACAACTCTCCTCAGTGCAAGACCGTTGTGTGGAACGGACCTATGGGCGTGTTCGAGTACGAGGCATTCGCAAAGGGAACCTTCGCCATTGCGGATACCCTGGCCGAGATCACCGCGGAGGGCTGCACCACTATCGTGGGCGGCGGCGACTCCGTGGCGGCGGTAGAGAAGGCCAACCTCGCCGACAAGATGTCGCACATCTCCACCGGCGGCGGTGCCTCGCTCGAGCTCCTTGAGGGCAAGGTGCTCCCCGGTGTGGCGGCGCTCAACGACGCTTAATTCGAAGGTGTCACTTTTGAGTTGTAGTAGTCAGGTGGTAGTGGTCGCGTTTTTTTTTTTTCATGTGCGTCGGAAGAAGTAGAAAAGAACGCCCCCTTTCTGTTTGGACGAGGAAAACCCCATCTCTTCTGTGTGTGTTCCGTTTCAATTCGGTCTCTTCGTCGTGGAAGCCGGACGGAGGGGACTTAACGTGATGCAGTCTTACGATGGCTGCTAGCTATACTATAAAGCTAACTGCGTCTGTCGAAAGGCGTAGGTGACCTTTGGGAGTAGACTTCCTGAGGTCACCGTCGCGAAAATCAATTTTGGGGGGGG